AGCGAGGTGACGGGGCTGCAGGCAGACCACTCCCCTCCGGCTCCACTGGCGACAGCTGGTCACATGGCAGCGCCTGAGGCTCTCACCTCTCAGGACCAGCACTGCACTAAGCAAAGAAAAGCACGAGGTTGGGGACACGGTGTGCTGTCTCTGCCACAGAAGGTCACCTGGAGACCCCAGGCAACCTTGCAAGGAGAGTTAGGGTGCAGGGAGGCCTGCAGCCTGGGGAGCCTCCCAGCCACCAGGCCACCCGGACTGGAAGGTGAACAGATACTGTGTGGATAACTTCAAGGCCTCAGCGCCATCCAGTCGTCCAGAGTCCTGGACCCGTCGCTGCAGCCCTCTATGTGGGCAGTAACCGATGAAATCCCGACGAGGGCCTCCCTCCCTGGGGGAGAAGCACAGCCCAGCAGTGACCCCTGGCAGCCAGAGGGAATCTGGCGAAGGAGACGGTTAGACATGGAGTTCCCCAAAGACACAAAGACACACGGTTCTTGAGAAATCCCAATATTGTTAAAAACAATATATTCAAGTGTTTTATTATTTAGTTACCTCTTGCCCGAGCATGAAAAAGATATTAACATACTATTAGTTTACTGGGACATAACCCAAAATAACTTGCGTTTTTCATATAGTGCTAATTATTTTTCTGAGGCTGGCTCAGGCTGGGAAGAGAGAGATTTCAAGGCTTTCCCCAGATTATTTACTTAAAGAAGTTAAGCATGCCATTATCTGTTTCCATGGAAACACAAGTAAGCAATAGGAGAGATGGAGGAGGAGGTCACTTTGACCATAATTAATATAAAGGATAATGGTTTATACAGAAGCTAGGAAAGAGTGGGGTGATGTAATACCCTCAAAGCCCCTTTTCAGCAGTGCAATTTAATCTTTGGATCTATTTTCATACTAGCATCAGTTTGGTAATTTTAGTAATCTAGTGCTAATTTTTAAAGTGCAATTTAATCTTGTTTAGCGGAGCTTTTTTAATGTTGTTACTTCATTTATGATCCAATTAAGAAACTCCAGTGACAGTTTTTCTAAGGTCCTGAACGAGTATAAATCAGTGAGTGCCCTGGCTTCACCCTGGGTACACCCAGCTCCTAGCACACGGCTTTTCCGTCAGCGGCTACCGGGGCACGGATTCAGGAGAAACCAGAGGCATCACTGGAGTCAGCGGTGCCTTTAAGATCACCAGAGGAAGATTTAATTATGTTCAGAAGAGTTTACATTTAAGTGTCTTGTTGTGTTGTTTTGTTTTTTTAATTGAAAATCAGTGACCCACATGTGGCAGCTCCTAGCTGAATGTCCCATTTATTGGAGTTCAGCGCCTTCCCTGGGGTCCTTACGGGAAGGAACACACTGCCGCTTATTTCTTATCCTTACACTTGTTTGAACAGTGAATTTATTGTGCAGTCTCTCAAGGGTAAATTTTATCGTGGAAGCTTCATTACACATTTTTCAAAACTATTTAATTCAGTGTCCCAGAAAGAACTAAAGAAAAAAAAAAAAAATGAAAGAGTGGACCTTTTAAGTTTCTGACTTTTTAACACACTAAGAAACTGTGTTAAGTGAGAAATGATTAGGATTTTGTTTGTCTTAGAGCGCCAGTGTGAGAAGCGTGCTCCAGCTCGTCGGGGTGGACTCGTGCTGGCCGAACAGGACACGGCAGTGTTTGCAAACAGGTGGCCCAAGCTAAGCGGAGTCCGTGTGCAATGTCTCACCTTCAGAAGGTGCCACATGAGGAACCACTTTTTTTTTTTCCCCAAACATCTTGCTTGAAATCATGTAATCAGAAATGCAAATCAGTTACATGCCCCAATTATAAAAACATTGATGGGATTGACCATGGTATTGATTGGGGGGGGGGGGGCTTGGATCGAGTTACAGCTGCTGGTTTTATATATATATATATGATGATATTACATTCCTACTCCAGAAATGCAAACAACGTTGCATCCTCCCTGGCAGGAACAGTGGTCAGCTGGCTTAGCCAAGAATAAGAACTGTGAGCAGTGCCATTGCACAGGCTGAAAAGAGAATCCCTAGAATAATGGGTGGTGCACTTTCCATATGTATTTATGTTCAGATGATTTATTTAAATAATGTTGCTGGCACATGCTTTATAGCTGCTCTCATCTTGCTGCATAGATTTCTGCATATCTTGCAGACTATGCAATTCATTTCGAAAATGTCATTTTCATCCCTGCATACTAATCGATTTCTTCACAAACACCTGCTATCAGTTATGATAATAAAAGTGCCGGTCTGAATTGAGAAAGGGCCAAATAGAGCTTCCTAAGGAAATGACTTAAGTGTCTTTGAATGCTACTAAATGTAGTAATGTGCTTATGTAGTGCCAACACTTTCTTCATCATTTGCATTTTCTGTAATTTTGCCCTATTACAACATCCCTTGCTCAAATGATGTCTCATAACCATTTCCTTATGGATTGGCAAACTGAATTGTCAAGAGTCGGCGTCCCAGGGTGTGGACACGATCTGAAGCTGGGCTACACAGTGTCGAACACACCAGCTTGAGTTCCTGGGCATGCCTGCCTCAGCTCAGATTTTACAAGTCCCTAAAAACTGTAATATTGGCTGATTCTTGCTTTCACACCCACATATACACCAAATAAAATTTCCCTCATTCATTCCCTTCAGCCTCCAGTTCAATGCCAGACTCATCTTCCTGAATCACCAGTTTCCTCTTGTGCTCCCACTACCCAAGCACCTTCAGTGGTTCTCAGTTGGTCGCTTCGTTGAGCCCAACTCAGCGTTCTGACTTCTGAGCCTCTGTCCCCTCTCGTCACCTGACGTGCTCACCTATCTCTGCTTCCAGACGGACTCTTGCCTTCTTAGTCCAGCTTCCCTTGCTTCCTGTCTCAAATATTCTCTCTTCAGTTCTCGTCTCTGGACTTCTGCTTGTGGTCCTGACACGCTGTCCTCCCAATTCTTGGAGTTTGTCCCCTGAAGCCACTTGGATAATTCCAGTGTGCATTTCTGTCTCTTCTCTGAACTCCCGTAGGGCGATCCCCTTGTCATATACCGTGACACTAAGTTGCTTGTTTATTTAGTCATTCAAACAACATTTATTGAGAGCCTATACTATGCCAGGTGGCAAGCAGTCCGCTCTTCCTTTGAATATGTTAGTTTCATCCAAATGAGTCTGTTTCTATTATATTTTTTAAAAATATTTTAATATGTTTGTATTGATTTTTTTAAGAGAGAGAGGAAGGGAGAGAGAGAAACATTGAATGGCTGCCTCCTGCACGCCCCCTATTGGGGATCGAGCTCACAAGCCTGGCATGTGCCCCCACCGGGAACTGAACGGGGACCTCTCAGTCCATGGGGCACTGCTCAATCCACTGAGCCATACTGGCTGGGCTGTTTCTATTATATTTTAAGCTCCTTGAGAGAAGAGACATATTTTGTCTCCTTTTCTGATCTAAGATGCCCAGATAAGTCTGGGCACAGAGCAAATATGCAGTAAATGCTTGTTGACTAATTGATCCCTAATGGTTTGTGGTAGGGAATTTTCTGGTTAATTGCATGTTCTCTTTGATTAGTGTTTTAATGTTGACTATACATAGATTATCATTTTGAAAAGCAGCATACTGTAAAACACTCAAGTATAAAACTATTATTAACATAAATTGATGTTTGACATTTGAAGAGAGAATTCACCGGGATGGCCCAGCACCTCGGTACAGGCTTGTCATCCTTGTACTGTAATGTAGCAGGCTGCCCTTGGCCTGGCTGTCTGATTGGGCTTGGGGTGCTGGTGGGGATGGGCACCGCCTGAGACCCTGCTGTGCGGTAGGTCCTCACCGTGCCCCACAAACCAGAACTTACTCCTATGAAGAAGTTACTGATGGCAAGCTTTAAATTTTTTCTTTCACTTTTCTCTTGCTTCCAAAAGTAGAGAATGAATTTTCTGTGGGATGGAGAAAAAAGTGTGGAAAAGGGGTGGGGGAGCAGAGGGGGGAGGCAAGGACTGGTTTTGAGCAGCCGGATAGGAACTGAACACCCAGTGCTGAGAGTGAACCTGGGCGTCAGCACTGTGCTGCTTACTTCGTGGGACTGGACACTTCCCTGACTTTTCTGTGCCTCACTTTTCTCATCTGTAAAGGGGGTATAAGAGCAGCACCCACGTCGTCAGTTTGGTGGGGGTTCGTTATAAAAGGGAGTGGGTTCATGCGAAGCCCTGGCCCAGTGTCCCTCGTAGGGTGAGTGCTCAGCCAGCTATTCATGTTGGAGACACTGTGACACAGTTAGCTGGAATGTGGGGCAGGGGTTCCCCTTCCTTACCTTTCTCTGATTTTATCCTGTTTTATCCTGTTTGAGTTGTTTCTGAAACCTTGCGATGTGTAAGACCTGAGTGGACGCTCAGATTCTCAATCAGGTGGAGGTGTGACTGAGGTCTGCATGTAGAAAACGTGAGATTTCAGGAAGGAGTACTAGAGGAACCGCTCAGCCTTTAGAGAAAAGGTGGTTCATCTGTTGGTAGCGCAGGTGGAAGTAGGTTGCCTTTCTGATAGTAGAGAAACGCTGCAGGTTTCCCAGAGGCGGCGGGGGCGGGGGGTGCATGGAAGTTCCACCCTCTCTCCGCTGCCGCCTCCCCCCCCCCCCCACTTGGAACTGTGCGAAAGAAAGCGCACCCCAAGGGGCTGAGCAGCCCGCAGAGAGGGGAGGGCAGCAGTGTTGCTGGGATGCTGCCATCCCAGAGGGTGCCTAGGAGCAGGGAGACGTCATGAGACAAAACTTCGGAAAAAATCCATCCTATGCCCACAGAAAACATTCATATGTAAGACAAGACAGAATAGATGAAAATTGTGAGAGATGCCGCTCCCCCACTGCAGAGACCCCTGGAATAAGGCGTTTCGGTTTTACTTCCGAGCCGGTGTGAAACGCTGAGAGTCTGGGTGAGACCCCTTCCCTGCAGGAGGGCCCGGCAGCCTAGGCAGGAAGGTAACTCACCTGAACCACTCTGTTTGTCCCCAGCCCTGGCTGCTCAGGCCTACGCTCTCAAGGAGGAGAACGACAGCCTCCGCTGGCAGCTGGATGCCTACAGGAACGAGGTGGAGCTGCTGAAACAGGAAAAGGAGCAGCTCTTCCGAACAGAAGACAACCTCACCAAGGACCAGCAGCTGCGGTTCCTGCAGCAGACCATGCAGGGCATGCAGCAGGTACCGGCCCAGGGGCTCTGTCGGCTCTTGGTTTCTGTTTCTTTGAAAGGGGTCTGTGTTTTAAATGGAAGTGAAATGACAGCCATTTGCTGGACAGGTGAAAGAGAAGAAATGACAACTGAAAAGCTAAGTTGCTAGGACTGGGAAGTGCTAATGACTTGGGGAAGCCCAAGCTGAAGAAATACGTTGAAGAAGGGCACCCTTGAGGTAGGAAAGACAGGATGGAAAGGTTTGCGAATGAAATGGAACCTCACAGCAAATGGTCAGAAAATCCTGGTCGTGATACAAGTGCTTTGTGATCTTAGAACTTTTAAATTAAAAGCATGCTCCCAATTTTACAGAAGCATGGCGAGTTTGTTTATTCCCAAGACCAGTGAAAACATAAGCTGTATTGTTTTCACTTCTGGATTATACCTAGCATCTAGTCAGGTTCCATGAACACACCACCTATTTAAGAAATGTTTGCTGATGGGATGGATGAAGCATGGGAATTTGGGGGAACAGCAACTTTAGAAATAAGCCAGTATCGGTGCTTTTGTTAAAGAATTCCAGACGTCAGCCTGGCACACTCCAATTGGAGATGTGTACTTCCAGCAACTCCAGGGGAGGCAGACGCCGCGGGCTTCTCCAGAAGGAGATGGAACGGACTGTGGGAAATGAGGGGGTGAAGGAAGGGGAAGCCTGAGCCCTGGCAGTTGGGGAACCAAAGCAACGATTTATATCTGAAAACATCAATTGATATCTGATACACTTAGGATGTTTGGGCCTTTGAGTTATCATAGAATAATACAGCATATATTATCATCATGCATGGGTATTTTTTTTTCCCTCTGAATTTGTAAATCTAACCACTCCTGGCCAAAAAAAAAAAAAAAAAATGTTTTTATTTAAACAAGGGAAATATAAATAGGATAATGGTAAGTTAAATATATGTATAATGAATGATATATTTTTTAAAATTCCCCCCATCCATATTGACTGCTGTCTAAGATCAGGAGCATGACTTGCCTACAAAGCTGTCCTGATGATTAGCGGTAGCTGCTGCAGAAACATTCACCGAGTGAGGAAAAAAATAATTGAGGAAAATAGGTATGGAAAAAAAAGGAGGGCCCTGGCCGGTTTGACTCAGCCGTTAGAGCGTCAGCCTGTGGTCCGGAAAGACCCGGGTTCGGTTCCCGCTAAGGGCACGTGCCTCGGTTGCAGTTTGTCCCCGGCCCTTGTTGGTCATGCGGGTGGCAACCACTCGATGTGTCCCTTTCACTTCGATGTTTCTCTCTCTGTTCCTCTCTCTCCCTCCCGCTCTATCTTTACAAAAAGTGGAGAAGTGTCCTCAGGTGAGGATAAAAAAAAAAAAAAAAAAAGGAGGAATGGGATATAAACAGGTTAATAACCAAGTCGCAGAAATTATGTTTTAAACTTCTCCCACCATGTTAAAGCAATTTTTAAGTCTTGGCTTTGAGTCCTGACTGGTTGATGTTCACAGTGTGTGTTAAACACATCAGTGAGATTCAGAGGTAAGAGCTCGCCAGAAAAATGTCATTATGGTTGTTGCTCAGGTCCCTGCACTTGGAAATCGGTGTAACAGCTGCTGTGCGAGGCTCCCAGGGTTGTCCAGATGCCCCACCATTGGGGGAGTGTCGGTGCCCCTGCCAGGAGGAGAGTCTGCCGATTTCCCCAAAGACTACAAACTGCTCCATCACACCTTCCAGGAAAGATGATCTTAGTTGCTTTAAAAGTTGATAAAACCCTTAAGATGGTTGAAGATTCAAATCTGAGAAAAGTCGGAGAAGATGAGGGTAAGCTTATCAGTCAGGGAAAAGTACGTTGGGGGTGGCAGTGCCAGGCGCTGGCAGCCGAGGGCCCGGTTTGGACAGGAACACTTATGAACCACCACCTACCTAGAGGCCCGCTCAGTAAGTATTCCGTTGCTGCAGCTTCTCATACATTTGCAGAATCTCCTTCTCAGTAGGGAATTTTTTTTTTGTATAGTTTTTTTGGTTTGTTTTGGGTTTTGTTTGGTTTGGTCTAAACAAGAGAAATTTACTGTCTCACAGTTCTGAAAGCTAGAAGTGCAAGATAAGATGTTGACAGAGTTGATTCCTCTGAGGACTGCGAGGAATAATCTGTTCCATGGCTCTCCCCTAGCTTCTGGTGGTTTTCTGGTAATCTTTGTTCTTCCTTGGCTTGTAGACACATCACCTTGCTTTTTGCCTTTTTCTTCACATGGCGTTCTCCCTGTGTGTGTGTCCATGTCTAAATTTTCACTTGTCATTAGTATACAATTTGTATAGGATTAAGGCCCATGCATTTCAGTATGGCCTCAGTGTAATGAATGACCTCTGTAATGACTCTTTTCAAGTAAGGTTACATTCTGAGCTACAGGGGGTTAGAATTTCACCATATAAATTTTGTTGGGGGAAATACAATTCAATCAGTAATAGACACATAGTAGATAGGTAACTGAATCCAAGGTTTGACTGTCTTTTGCCATGAAAACCAAACTTGTGAAACAGGTGCTGGTGAAAAAGGAAAGAGATTTATTCAGGTGCTAGCTACCTGGAAGATGGGGGATTCCTGTCCCAAAACCCATCTCCCTATCTCAATGCAGGCAGTGGTTTTTATAAGGAGGGAGAAGGAAAGTGGAACAGAGAGATTAAGGAGAGAGAGTTGAAAAGTTCTCTACATGCAGATCAGCACAATCTGTTCTAATAAGGACCTTGAAATGGCCAAGCGATGGTCTGGTGTACGTCATCCTGGTTCTATGGTTGAAGGTCAGCAATTGTCCTAGAGCTGGGATGACTGAATGTTGGAGTCTGTATCTTCTAAAGTTAATTTCTAGGACTTTTATACAAAAATTCTGTTTATCTACAAACTACATATTTGTCAGAGTCATCATTTACAGTAACAAGTCAAAAGAATGGTAGGGTGGGTTATAGATAGAATATATTTGCTGAATGGAGGAATGAATGGACAAAGATGCAGAAGCAAGAACTAGTATGATGCCTGTCGGGAGCTCTGGGTTATTGGGATTCTTGGGTCATAAACAGCAAGGGAGGGAGTGGTGAGAGCTGACGCCCTGGCAGTATGAATGTGTAGCACCTCCTTAGCACCTTAGTGCATGGGAAGCACTAACTCAGTGGCAGCCTATGTGATTTTTTTAAAACTATTTTTATTGTTGAAGGTATTATAGATGTCCCCCATCCCCCCTCATCAACCCCCTTCTCTCTGCTCCTGCCCACCCCTGCCTTCACCACACTGTTGTCTTTGTCCATTGGTTATGCATATATGCATATAAGTTCTTTGGTTTATCTCTTCCTGCCCCTCCCCTGCCCCCTTCCCTCTGGGGTTTGTCAGACTTTGCTGGTTGTTGGGTGGATTCACTGCAATCTCTGTGGCAACCCATCTTTAATATAGTTTTAAAATATATGTGCTTGTTAAGATTTATACTTCTACCTTAACACCATTTGGAATAAATTATCACAACTTGCTAATTTGAGACAGACCCACTGCAAAGAATTCTTACTTTGAAACCTACTCTCAATCTGTCTGCTATCTACTTTTTAAATTATAAAATCATGATCTCATGGGAAAGTCAACAGGTAGAGGAGGGGTTAGTCTCCCACATGTCATTGTTGTAGCAATCCATGTATTGGGAAATTATTTCTGTTATAAACAAAAGAAATGAATGAGTCTTAGCAACCTTAGAATTAGCATACAAATTTTAGAATTGCCTCCAAGTTTAGCCAAAAAGTTTCTAACCTTTCTTCTTTTAATCCCTTAAGGATATGTTCCCTGACATCCCAGGGTTTCTCATATGGTCATAAAGAAAACATTATGGGCAAGGTTCCAGAAATGAAAAGCCCTTGGGTGACTTGGTCTGTTTTTTCTCAGTCTACCCCTGTATTATATGTGAGTCATAATTTAATATTAGAGGTTTCAATAGCAGCTCTCAGCCATGGTAACACAGCAGCTTTTCCCTGATCTTAAGCTCACAACAAAGTTAACCTGCCTTTGCCCCAGGGATAGTGAGGTTGTTGGTCTTCATTCATATTTTCAATGAAAATATGAAATGCAATGAAAAAAAAATGCATATTTTAAATTCTTATTTATCTTCAGATTCCACACTGAATTGTTTCCTTAGGTTTACTGAGGTAAAAGACACATACAATAAAAATACTCTTTTTAGGGGTATAATGTGACAAATTCATACACTTATAGACTTATGTAACCACCACCACAGTTAGTATATAATACAGTTCCATCATCACCAAAAAATATCCCTTATGCCCCCTTTTAGTTACCTTCACTCCCAGCAACCACTAATTTGTTTTCTACCCTTGTAGCTTTGCTTTTTCCAGAATGTCATGTAAGTGGAATCATACAGTATGAAACGTTCTGAGTCTGGCTTCTTTCACTTAGCATAATGAATTTGAGATCCATCCATGTTGCTGTATCAGTTCATTCCTTTTTATGCTGAATAGCATTTCATTGTAAGGAAAAGCCATCATTTGTTATAGTCATCAGTTAATGGACATTTGGGTGAGTTCCTGTTTGGGGCAAATATGAATAAATCTGCTGTAAACATTGACTTACAAGCTTTTTGTTTGGACATAATTTTTCATTTCACTAGATACCTAGGAGGAAGATTGCTGCATCACATGGTAAATGTGTTTAACTTTTTAAGAAACTGATTCAGTTTTCCAAAACGCTGGACCATTGCGCATTCTCATGGGACTACAGGAGAATTCCAGTTGTTCTGTGTCCCCATCAGTCAGCACTTGGGATGGTCAGTTTGTTTTGTTTCCTTTTGTCTTTTTTAGCCACTACAGTAAATATACAGTAGTGTCTCATTATGGTTTTAACCACACCTAAATTTAAACAATATTTTTATTTACATTCTTGAGGCTAGGTCAATATGTCATATTTTTAAATAACCAACTTAAAAATCAGAATTCTTTTTGAAGCCTTGTGTAAATCATATTGGAAGGACTGATAAATAT